CCGAGCTCCACCAGTGACAGTCCCACAGGTGTAAACGCAGCCAATCATTTGGATCACCAGTACGGTGAGATTATTTCACTCAGTTTCCAGAATTCTCTAGCTAAAGGCAGCAAAATACAGCATGTTTCTTCCTTCCCTTCAATTTTAGACTGCAGGGGAATCCCATTTTTCAGTATGATTCAGAGGAACATATCAGTAGACATGCACTGTAGGTGAGCTGGAGGAGAAGCTAATTCAAAGTGCTGCGAGCCTTTAAACTAACCCACTTTGTTGAAACAGCTTGTGGCGATGGATCTGCAGTGAAGCACGGAAAGAACACGCTTGACTGAGGGGTCTGGCTTGAACTCACACACGTGCACAATAATGCACAGTGTGCACTTCTCGATGAAAGCCTCGTTCACACATGAGCTGAGGTGTGTTTAGTGGGCATAAATAAGGTGGCGAATTGCTCCACCTTCGACTCCACTGTCCAGTCTTAGCTCCGTAACATCTTGTTATCACCAGGCATTGATGAGAGTAGACCATAGATTTATGGTTCTGCCAATAGGTATTGATTACAATTGTTTTAATATGATGGATTCCCACACTGTAGGGGCTGTTATATTTGTGCAATTACAATGCAAGTAAGCAGGTGTAACCATACAGGGCTGATCCTGAGAGACTGTAGCTGTGATTCAGGGAATATTTTTACAGGTAAACCTGGCTCATGTTTTCATACCATTTTAAGAGTAGATGTAAATGATAAAAAAATGCATCTTGATGCCTTGTGAACTGCAGGATTGGTCACCATCGGCAGCAGAATTAACCTGGTCGAAAACTGACATCTAATTGTTTTTCACCCTCTCCTCACCTTCCCATGCTAACTCCTTCTCCTTCCTGTCAAGGTCAGTTGTAATCACCTTGGATAGGTAATTTATTAATAGCAGATGGGCCCCTACGCCTCCATTTTTCAGGTGATGGATGCTGCGAACTGTCTTTGACCAGAAAGGGTGAAACAATAAAGCTGTTAAACAAAACTACATCCAGCGCAAGAATATTTTATAGGTTCATTATCCATGTGTTCAGCATCGCTAGCTGTTGCATCAGCAACGTCCTTCACTTCACAGCAGACCTGTACCAAACCAGTAATGCAGCATATACAGCTCCAGGGGGAGAAAAAAAACAGGGCTGTATAATTAATATATTTGCTTGCACAATGCAATCACCCCGTGTCAACAAAAGGATCATGTGTACTGTTCTGCAGCTGGAGAACGATACAGCAGTGGTACCTACATGAGCCATGCAATACTTCTTTGAATACACAGAATCATAAACCCTGTTTGCTAAACATCAATAATCTCTCAGCATGAAAGATTTATCTGATCCATAATGGATCAGCTCTGCTCTGTGTCAACCTCGGCATGCACTCAGAAGACTGTGTGACATCGACAGTATGAGCACCTGTGCTGTCCTGTTTGTGTAACGACATGGAATAGAATAATCAAGCTCACAACATTTTAAAAGGGAACTTCATTTACAGGTCTTGGCTGGTTCTAGACGCAGAATAAGTTGTATAAAGGCTTTGTCACTCCAGGAAGAACTTTAGTCAGTGTCAGAGGAGTCTGTGGGCTTTGAAGTTTGAAAATGAAAAAAAAAATCTGGGGGTGTGGAGTTAAAAAGTAGTGAGCTTACCAGACCTTTGTAGCCCACAGTAGTGATGGGCAAAGCAGTTCTTTAGATGTTACTAAATCACTAGAATCAGTTCATTAAAAAGATTCATTCAAAAGATTCGTTCAGTGCTTGGCGGGAGGAGCCCTAACTGTGTACTGCGTAGTCCGACTCACTAAACTGATACACGTCTGAGCTGCTGCTGCGTCTGCCCTGCACTAGTGAGTCTCATTACTGGTCAGCCTAATGTTTTAAGTTTGTATATCTGGAAAGTAAGTCGGTTAAAACAATGGGGAGGTGGGGTGTCGGTAAAAAGTGGATAGTGCCAGCGCCCCATGTACAGAGGCATCGCGGGTTTGAGTCTGGCCTGCTACCCTTTGCTGCTTGTCAGTCTTTCATTCTCTTTCTGTCTCCCCATTTCACACACTGTCCTGTCAATTAAAGGCAAAAAGCCCAGAAAAAAACAAAAAACTAAAGGGGAGGTGTGTGATTGTGTCCATGTGGCTTGACTCCTGGCTACATTAGCCATTAGCTTGGAGAAAACGGTCCCTATCGAAGTGTATCACTGAGAAGAAATGATTTGAATCACTCAGGGATTGGGGTTACGTCGTTCACCGAGTGATACGTCACGCGGTCGGCAGTCCCTCCCTGCACCCTGGCGGCCTCGCAAGTGATTCATCATGCGCATGGACCAAATCAGCAGTTCCACTCCTGGCCTGCACGCTTGCTGCTGAGCTCAACTGAACTGAGAAATGAATTAATCAGTTCCTGAAGTGATTCAGTTCAGTACGTTCACTAAACAGATTTGTTCTTTTGATCGATTCGTTCGCGAACGACACAACACTGGCCCACAGCTCAAGGCTACATCAGCTGCTATTGGCATCACACCCTTGCATCTCTGACCGAACTGTCAGTTTAATCAAGAGAGACAGAAGAATGAAGCAAAGATAATATTTAATGCAGAATAAAGGTTTACAGATTAATAGATGATTTGTGCTGTTAAGATTTAACAGAAGTCTTTGGCACTTGGAAACCAGAGGGAGATACTCTGTGTTCGAGGGTGTCTGAGTGGCAGCAGGACAAATCCCCTCTTGGAGTCCAGACACTGGTGGTGGCTGATGACTCTGAGGCTGCTGAGGCGTATGAGGCTGATGAATCCGTAAAGACAAGGTGGTGGACGGTGGAGGACTCGCACGAAGGGGACAAGAAAGAACTATGGCCGAATATTTAAAATGAGGAGCAGTAAGATGATAGGCTGACAGAGAAGGTGTGTCGCTGTGCTATTGGTTGATTGTGAATCAGCTGATGACCCAACTGACCTACCCAGACAATAACACCTAGAGACAGTGATAGAGCATAAGTGCAATGAGAAAGTGAGAAAGATACTTACAGCCTGAGAATTAAAAGTATTGTCTTCCTGACCGAACTTTACTTAGAGCTCATTAGTCACATTGCATTGTGGGTAATGTAGGCACCAAGTTTTGACGAGGATGAAGAATAAGTGGCGTAAAAAAGGCAACATCTTTGATTCTTCTATATTGATTCTGATCTTTTTTTCTGTGCATTGTGAATCTGTCATTGTTATCCTAAAGTACTCATTTAATGCAACATTTCGACCTACAACATCTTTGTCAGGTAAACATCCATGTGAATTTAAAACCAGTCTATACACAGGCAGAAATTGACAGCTCAACACAACACCCACCACCTTAAAACAATCTACCTTGCACCAATAAAACACATAATGTCCCAAAGAAAAGACTGCAGACCACTCAGGACATAGGTTACTCTGTGTTATACATTCATTTACTATTTATGAGCACTATAAAACTTTTAAGACTTGCTTTATTGCACACTATAATGCAGATGTAAGTGTTTATCAATGTATTTGTGAACAACTGTACTTCCATCTGTGGCTGTGGGCATAAGTAGGTGAAGTGAAGTCTTAGCATGCGGTTTTTAAAACGACAAAAAGGAATGCAATGTAGACCACATTCTGATGTGTGTCTTCTTGTGTATAGCCTCACATTGTACCCAATATGTCCTCCTCTTTTTTCAAGTAGTCCACCCATCCATCCATTTTCAACCACTTATCCAGGGTTGAGTCGTGGGTCATCAAAGCAGCAGGTCATGCAAAGCACCCCAGACATCCCTCTCCCTGGCATGCTTTCCAGCCATCCTGTTACATTATGTATTGTGAATCTGTTTTTTGCTCAGATGGACATTTGCCTTACCAAGACTTTGGTCTTGAGCTTGAAAATTTGGATGTGCACAGTATCAACCTTCAGTATCAACTGATTTTTTTTAAAAAAAACTTCTTATGAATAAGGTCAGCCGCAGCTGTGAATCATGCACTAGTGTTGTTCAGAGACCCTGTTGACTAACACTTTGTCTTTTGAGCCTCAGGTGACTGTAATTTGCTTTTATAAGCTTATATTGCTTACTTTTTCTTTGGTGTGATGGAGGAAAAATGTGTTTCTAATGAGGCTCATAATTAAACATAGACTTAATAATTATGTTCTAAGAGCTCTTGTTGATGTACATGGATGATCTACAAGCATGTAAGGGCTTGCTATTGCTCATTATCCAGCAGAGGTTTCTTTAATTTTGTCCAATGCAGTGAGGAAAGATATATGTATACATTATATATCATAAGATGCACTTTTGTCAGTCTGTCAACATGCCATTAACTACCGTAATCCAGGAAACGCTGCAAATGTCTGCTCAGGTGCACTCATCTTTCATGCATGACAAGCCATATGAAAATTCATATATGTAAAGCGTGTGTGTGTGTGTGTGTGTGTGTGTGTGTGTGTGTGTTTCCACTCAGGTGTCGACAATATGAGTGCCCCCCTTCCTGTGTGTGTGAAGCACACTGGAAGAGCATAGCCCACTGTCACTCTCATGACTTATTGAACTGTGACAGATCGTGTCCTCCTCCGGCTGCAGGAAGGCAGCAGAGAGATGGGAAAGGGCAGGAGAACGAAGGCGAGCTGAAACCTCAGTGAGAATCTCAGCAACAGCAGACTCCCTCATCGTGACATTGGAGAGGAACGTCAAGAGGGGCTAATGTGAAATGACGCACATTCATCTAAATTGATCTGTGCTATTGAATGCTCTGCCACGTTCTGGGAGAGCCTCAAAAGGCTGTTGGATTTCATTTTGACATGGTGGTGAGACGCCGGGGCCAGCGCTCTAATCTCTCATTTCGTTTCAAGGTAACAACAAAACCACAAGTCATCTGTGAGAGTATCTGTGCTGCTTTCAACATACCAACAATAATGAAAGAAACCTATTTGAGTCTTGATTTAAAACTGCATTAAAACTCCCACTCATTGAACACTTATACCAAATACTTTAAAGCCTTTATTGCACAGCATCTCTGAATGAGAACAGATAAAATCCTAGAACAACATACTTTTATTTCACAAATCCTCTGCGTTATTTTTGTAGCTCTGCAGGCCTACGGTTTAAATCACTCTTTATAGCCGGGAGATGGCAAACCATTTCACACATGAACATAACATACTGTAGATACAGATTTAATGTAGCAGCAAACAGACCCACACACACACACACAAAGTAAAACAAGGTGATGTTTGTTCAGCAAAATTGAACTTATGATCAGCTTTCAGCTCTGCTGGGTAAATATCAGCTACAGTTTCTTTGTTTGACACTGATATGAATTTTTTTCCTTTTTTTTTCTGCTGCATTGGTGAGCCTGTCTAAATGACAAAGGATAGCCATACAGTGTAGCAGCGAGCAATCCATGACCATAATAAAAATATATACCACTGTTGTCATTTCTCAGAGTACACAGACATATTGTGGATGTAGTTTTACAAATTAAACTCCCATATTTGTACACATAATGCAAAAAGGATCCTGGGTAGTCATTTTTTAAATATAATTTTAACTCTGATCTCTGCTGTTTAACATACTGCACCATCTTAATCCATACAGAATACTTAAAATCCATCACCGAATTTATCATATAAGCAAATTTGCTCACCAAGAGGAGCTCCATGACACGTTTAAGTGATTTTGCGAGGTGCGTAAAGTTGGATTTCTCCAACACCGCCACTTTCTCAATATTAAATCTTGTTTTTTAATTAAAACAATCTTTTAAGAGAAGTTTGCAGCGCATTGGTGAGCGCTTTAAATCTATGGAAATGATGGAAACAATTTAACTCCACATTTTAATCTCCACACTGCACCAAATGACTGTTTTTTCTTTTGCATGCACATCTTATAATGTCTATGAGTCCCAGAAATGTGTATGGCATTCTCGCTATTCTATAATCCCACACTTCATATCCAAAAATAAATACACAAATAAATCTTATTGGACACTGAAGGTAACATTCGTTCACGACCTGCAGCATCTAAAGCGCACAAGTTTCTGGAAAGCTTTCTTGAAGTCCTCGTTGGACATTGTGTATATGATGGGGTTGATGAGGGAGTTCAGATATCCCAGCCAGGTGAAAAAGTCAAATAACTCAGGATTAAAACACGTCTCGCACGTGGCCACCACCAGTGTGTAAATGAAAAACGGCAGCCAGCAAACGATGTAAGCGCCGAGGATTATCCCCAAAGTCTTGGTGGCTTTTCTCTCTCTGGCTGCTGAGATGCGCTTTTTCTCCAAAAGCGCGTCCGACACGGTCACTTTCACCTGGTTCTCGCTTGTTGAGGAGCCGGTGTCACTGGACGGAGTGTCGTGTCTCCCGCACTGCAGAGAGGTCGTGGACGCCACGGATCCTGGGGAGTTGGTGGCCAGGTGCGCCGAGGTGAGTCTCTTCCCCACCTTCTTTGGGGACTGCTTCAGGATGCGTTTCCGAGCCTCGACGTATATCCGCCCGTAGAGGACAATAAGCAGCAAGGTGGGGATGTAGAAAGCCCCGAAGGTGGAGTAGATGGTGTAGAAAATATGATCCGTGTTGACACTGCAGCTGGTCAGCTCCTCCGCCTTCACCTGCCTCCAGAAGAGAGGCGGCAGGGAGATGGAGATGGCAATGACCCAGGCTGTGGCCACCATCCCGGCGGCGCGCCCCGGCGTGCGCTTTTTGGAGTACTCTACCGCGTCCGTGATGGCCCAGTACCTATCCAAAGCGATTACGCACAGGTGGAGGATAGACGCCGTGCAACACGTTATGTCCGAGGAGAGCCAGATGTCGCACACGATTTGCCCCAGCGTCCAGGTGTGGATGACGGTGTACAGGACGCAGATGGGCATCACCAGGATGGACACCAGCAGGTCAGTGACGGCCAGGGAGGCGATCAGAAAGTTCGCAGGAGTTTGTAGTTTCTTGGACTGGGAGATAGTTGCGATGACGAATGCGTTGGATGAAGTGGTGGCGAGTGTGATAACGGAGAGAATCACCGCCAGACTGATCTGATAGGCGAGACTCTCTTCGCCCACATCCACAGCGGATGTCTCTGTTATAAAACTGTCGTTTGTGGTGTTCACCGGCTGAGTTGGCTCGACTTGACCGGAGCTCTCCATAACTTTTAGTCACTTGTTCTCATATTTTATGTCACCCTCTGAGATGTCTGACATTTAAGGTGCCCTTTCTCTTGATGGACGTGGCCTTATCCGTGCCATCCGGTCAGATAAACGGCCTAATCAGTCTCCAGCATAAACATGGATTCCTTCCTTTCTCATTTTCTTCTGCTACATCAGGTTTTAACATGCAGGTGCCAGATTGTAGAAGCAAATATCCATTCCCCGCTTTTCAAAGTTTTCCGTTTTGTAGCCATAAAAGAAAACTTCTCAACTGCTGCGCACAACATGCAATACAGAAGAAGAAGAGTGTGTGCGTGTGAATGGTGAGCAGTGGGTCCTGGTGTCCCAACATCTGGGAGAATGTCACAGATAATCCGCATGTAGGGCAGAAGTTCTCCAGAGCTGTGTTTCCTCAGGCCCCCTGTGGTTGAATGGTGAGCCAACCCAAAGTCTCAGTTTTATACAGACTCTGACATCAAACAAGCACCACTGATCACAGCCTTGTTTTTTCTCTCTCTCTATGAAGAGTAGGCTATCTGCTGGGTCATAGTGCCCAGTGTGTCTCATTTGTCACACGTTGTGCAAGATTGTGATTTGAAATGGGAAAAATACTTTTATATTACAGAATAAAAATCTGAGGCTGTCACTGTTACCATAACACCTGGCACCAATTTCAAATAATGCACTATTTGTAACAGGTTTACAAATTTTTATCAGCACCAATACTTTGTAAGTCAAATTCACATCTGTAATATTAAGTATTATAATTACACAAAATTGTTTCAGTTGTTATTACCTGACACACTCCAGGCCTCCATAATCAATATATGGAACATCTGACACTCAGTTTCTGTACCCCTACGTTCACCTTTGGGGGTACCTCACCTATAAAGGGGTGTCTCCCGCCTTACCTCTCCCCTTTTCTTGTTGATGGGAGAGGTAAGCGTCAATGCTTCCGCAGTATTTTCCAGGTTTTATGCTACGTTTAGAAGTTCATAATATGCAAACCTGTGTCGCTTAATTTGTGTAGGGGCTGGAGTTATATTGTCATAACTGATGGAGGATTTTGTTTTTACCTCTTGCTGTCAGGTATAATTCCTGTGTTTTATTGTACTAAATTGAATGTAACATGGCCGCCCTTTTTGCTGTTGTGCTCCATGGGAGAGGGGCTCGAGTTATATGGGTGTAATTGAATTGAACTGAATTGAATTGAATAAAGGGAGATCGCCTCGTTATATCAACACAACGCAGACAACACTAGAGTCCACCTGTTACATATAGATCCATTGTAAAACAACTTTTGGTTGCCAGATTGTGAAACATCTCTTGGCAGGTGAGTCATTAACAGTAGAGTCCAACCCAGCTGCCAGAATAAATGTTAGCATCTATGTTTCTGCAAACTATCCATATGCAACATTTGCACATCATTATGTAGCAGACATGTTGAAACTTTTCCTTACGTGTCAGCACTGTTGTTAACATTTGGTTTGGTTTAGGCACAAAAACCATTGTTAATTGTTAGGAAACAATAATGTTTTGGGTTAAAACATTCTACTTGGAATCCCAGTCCCCGCTGGAAAACACAGTGATGACTTGGTAAAAAAAATGGCAATGTACTGACAGGAAATTCAGCGATGGCTTTCTAACGAACAGCCACTTTTCATGGCATTATACCAGCAGAAAATGGATTGATGGCTCAGTAAAAAACAATTGCTTTTCAGGAGCTATCCCTGGTGGAAACACAGTGACAGGTTGTCATTTGTTCATTAAAAATCTGCTGGAAATGCAGTAATGAATCACTAAAAAACAAATGGTTTTGTTGTCCATCTGGCAAAGGATTCATGCCATCCACCATCCCTTCCACCTCCTGAAGATATATACTACTTCATTGTAGAGATGTTGATATAACACATATGAAACTCATCCCTGATTTGCAGAAACATACAGTACCAACAATTTCTTCTGGTGACTTGGCTGTACAGTCATTAATAAAGCGTCAAAACTTCAGACTTTTAATAAGCTATTAAGTCTTATTAATGTTAATAAGGCATTAATAAGGGATATAAACACCACGTCAGCATTTACTTTGTCACATGCCTTTTGGTAACACTTTAAGTCTCCTAATCTTGCAGTTATAAGCTGTATGTAAACATGTTTATGAGTCTATAAATGCTAGATAGGACTAATTAAAGTGTTGCCATATTTTTATTGAAGCTCACACAGTTGATACAGGTCTATGCTTCAGTTTTTCCATTCATTAAAGTCATAACACAGAATATGATCGGCCATTTGTCAATGATTAATATAGCCATAAATTACCACTTATAAACCCCCTGTAATGAGTGCTTTATTAGGAAGTGGTGCCACTATATTTCATTCATTGCATGTAAATGTCATAGCGTTATTTAATAATATGTAGTGGTGCTTCTTTTGATATTTCATGAATGTAAGTTTCAGTGTGAGGAGTTCACACACATTGAATCCTGCCATTTTTGGCACTTCTGATGTGTGAAAACAGCTGTCATGGATATTGACATTGGGTCACTGACAGTTACACATGAAACTGTGAACCTCTCACTCTCGTCCAGTATTCTGTGCCAGTTCTCGAGTTCACCCGTAGTCCCTTTCCACCAAATTAGCTCTGGTTCTTGAACCAATTCTGTTCAGGATTCTTGGAACATTGGTGCTGTTTTGCGCATCAGCCCGCGTTTCCACCAGGATGTGTCATCAATGGAGGTCGCAACACAATGCATGACAGAGATGAACAGCAAAACTGTGTGTTACACTGATTACTTGCAAACGTTTGTTCCATTATCACAGGTATTTACAGTTTCACTTGACTTCTCCACCCGCTCTTTCCAACCTGTAGAATATGACACACCCACTGATGTCATCGCGGTTCGCAATTCAGGTCAAGCTCTCAACAGCTCAAAATTAGGTTTAGGAACCTGAACAGAAGTGGCTCCACGTTGGTGGATAAAGGGGTATCATTGCCTCACTGAGGCAACAATGGACCAATAATCTGTTCCATGCCCTGATGAATTTTGTGAAATGAATTACTAGTCTTGTCAGGAAATATATAAATTATGCTATCCGACTCTGATAAAAAGAAAAAGAAATCACACACACACACACACACACACACACACACACACACAGACCAGGACAATGTCCATTTCCCAAACTGAGGAACTGAAATGACTCCCAGTAATGAATCTGCTGCAATATATTCTTTTCTCATCTCAAGCGGCCGCAGCAATCATATCTCCCCTTCTGCTTTTAGTCATGTCCTCATCTGAAACTTTTAATTGAAATTGACTTGTCACTTACAGTGCGGCCAGTTTTCTCCAGAATCACACTTAAACTGTCCACATCTGTGGTGCTCAGCTGGCTTTGTTAATAGCAGGAATAGACAGTTTTGAGGCATTGTTTTAGATGATGTTTTTGGGCCTCGACCTTTCAGTCGTAAAACTTTAACTTAAAGTTTGTAATTCAAAGTAAGGATTTAAACATAATTTTACCCATAAACATGATGTGAGTGATCATGATTCAATGCAATAAAAGTTTCACTGGGGGAAAACTTGTGCACAATTGTGAACTGTATTGAAGAAAGTACAGGAAAACAGTCTGAAAACCTAACCAATGAACAGGAAAACAAAGGTGGTGTTCGTTCATCATCTCAGTCCAAATTAATACGTCTTTTGAAAGCACTTTACCCCAGAAAGTGATGAGTTTGAGTGCTTGAACGATCCTCGTTTTAACACAAATCCTTGACAGTTTAAGACTTCAGTTTCCAGTGTCATACCGACAACTTCTATATCAGGACCACGGACAGCTCCTACTTTTTTTCCTTCACCCGTATTCTGAATGTAACACCTGCTGGAGCTGAATAAAAAACATCTTCATTTATTGTGTCTATCTTAATAACTTATTTGGATGAGTTACACATAATTCTTGCATTCAAAGCATTCTAAATGACTTGCATATTATCCAAATCTCCTGACCAGTCATATGTTATAACCGTGTGGGTCTTGTGAAGTCATGTGGGTGCATTTGAACATGCTTCAGGTGTTTTCTACAGATCTCTCCGTCAGTAGGCCGTCCTTAGGTCAGTAGGTCATGCCCTTAGGTCTTCCTTTCAACCTCATGTCCACAACACATGTTCCAGAGCTATAACATTGTATTCTCCTCCTCTTAAAATCTAACCCCTGTCACTGTCATGCTGTAATGACGATGACACATTATAAAGATATTATACGATAATGGACAAGTTGGAGCTAAGGTCTGTTATTTTTGATAAATGGAGATAGGTCAGTGTGGACGTCTGCATGAGTCCGTTTAAATCCCACTTCCACTCAAACATTGTGATCTCTTTCCTCCAACCAAAGACCCCGACAATTAATTCCAGTCATTACCTCGTCCTTGCTGGCAGGGCCGCGGCCAAATAATGAGATCACGAGTTGTAGGTCACCACCCTACCTCAGGGAAGCTCTGGCTGGACACCAAAAAGAAATACTCTCAAACAAATGAATGACTTAGTTTTTTAAACTTTGTTTATGTAGTTAACTGGACAGTGAGCTCAGTCGCCAGAGGAAAATGTTTGTATTGTACATTTCTGCAGACCGTGAATACATCATATTTGCATGTTTCATAATAATGTTTCTAAAGTGACGTATTATAGAAGCTGACTTTGTCATTGGGAGGTGGCGGTTATGGGTGGACGCCTGCCAAGCTGTTGGAAACCAACAACACTGGTTGTCTTTTGGTGACCCTGTGCGCACATCATGGCCCTGTGCCACCAAACCTGGCTGTTTTTTTTTTTTTTACCAACATGCTGCAGTGTTTCCCAGCGGCGTTTGGTGTATTTCATCAACCCATCCTTGCTTTTCCAGAAACTTTTGAACCACCAAACAAGAGTGTTTTGAGCCCAAACATGATCTTGTCCAAACCATAACCAAGTGATTTTTGTGCCCAAACCTAACCACACCTTCAACACAGTGTCAAAAACGTGAAGTTTCGATGTATTCGTTTTAAATTAATGTGCAGATGTACAGTAATGTATCTTTGGTTTGCAGAAATGATCAATGCAAACATTTTTTTCTGGCAATTACATTATCACTTCGACCTCGTTACATATTGACATTTGATCCTGGGCCTTCTACATCTAGGTATGACCTGAATGGTACCCTGGGTGTGTTGGCTGTTGATGTTCTGGGACGCCGTGTCAAGTTCTGCCTGTTACATGCATTGTCTTCTTTCAAAATACACTTCCATATTCACAGGAAATTTACAGTTTACATACAGTCTCTTTCAAAATAAAAGCACTACGTCAGTACAACAATGCAAATTGACGTTTTTTTTCCTCCAGCGATGAACACATGTGGTTGGGTTTAGGCGATAAAAACACATGGTTAGGTTTGGGGAAAAAGAA